TGTGTGTGTGTGTGTGCGTCTGTCCGGGTATTTCAACTCGGCACTCAAGCAAGCTCCGGCGCCAAATTTTGTCAGTGAGTTCCCCGACCAAGTGCCAGCCCAAGACCGCAGTACCGGCCCTCACGCACACCTAGGCCTCGCGTACGAACGCCTCAAAGTTTTAGTGGGAAAATCGCTAACTCGGAAGCCAGAAAAGCTAGAAAGGTGAAACTTTGCAGTTATGTTCCCTGCCCAAACAGAAATTAAAGGTTCCAGATTCAGCCTACAAGTATGCGTGATTCTTAAGTACGGCCCCGTGAAGGTTCCTGGCGGGGAAATCGCTAACTTGGGATCTAGGAAAGCTAGAAAACTTAAATTTTAAGTCGGATGTTCCCAGTTCACATACAACTGAAATTTATCAAATTCAGCCTCCAGGCATGCGTGGCTCTCTCGTACGGCCCCGTGGAAATTCTTGGCGGGAAAATGGCTAATTCGGGAACCAGGAAAGCTGGGAGGCTGAGATTTTCGGGGAATGTCCCCAACACATTTACAGTTTAAACTTACTAAATTCAGTCCCTCTCAGTGCGTGATTTTCACGTGCGGCGCCATGAAAATTTTTGGCGGGAGAATGGCTAACTCGGGAACTAGGAAAGGTGGAAAGCTAAAATTTTAATGGGATCCAAGTACCGCGTAATAATTAGCTTCCCAAACTTCGTGCACCAGCATTTCACACATTCTACCTAGTGGGTTTCCGAGCGATCTCACTACAGTACGAAATACTGCAAAAGCGCATGATCGCACGGGCTCGCCCGATGCGCGTCACCAATGATTACCTTGTGCTGCAACAGTTGAAAAAAGCGCATATTGTCGAGACCCTGTATGTGTGTTTGTTTCTTTCTTTTCTTAATTCTTTATTTCTCTTTCCATCCTCTCAATCCACTATGCATGCTTTTTAGCAAACAGTGCGATCGGATGCTGTAGTAGTGACTCCCATCCTTTGCCGCGCCAACCAACGCAGTGTTTACAGCTCAGGGATGAAACACGGAGAGATCGTTTTCTAAAAAAGTACTACTGGTATCACATTTGTCATCTAAATGTCGCACTGTGGCATTTCAAATGTTCCGGTCCTGACTGCTCCTTTTTCTCCTCGACTAAAAACTTGGCACAATCAAGAGAACTCGTAACCAGCCTGTATTCTAGGGTCGTGCACCCTTTTTAAATTCCAAAATTTCAAAGCATTTTTGTGCCTACACATGGAATTACTGGTGTATTTCCATTCTGTAAGGCAACTGCCTCATCGTTGTCCCAGAATGGCAGCCCTCGAAAACCAGCAACCTTCAGTACACATCAGTGACATCTTGAAATGTTTTAGATGCATTCAACAAGTTTGATAATGGAACACGAGCCGCATTTGGACCAACTGGAACAGCAAGCATTTTCAGTACCTATCCGGCTAGCTATCTCTCGCCTTCCGGCGCCTATATTGATCAGGTATTTTTTATCTAAATTATAAGCCGATTGTAGCATCCAGGTTGACTCTGGATGCCAAATTGTCGAACGCGTATTGAATATAGAAAGCAGGAAAGAACGAGAAGAGGAGGCAAGAATAAGATAAGATGTTTCGGTTCATTAAGTCATATACGTCTTAACTCAGCACTGTGACTGGAGCTCAATAGTAAAAGAGAAAAGAGAAGGAGATGGAGAAAGACGCAAAAAAAAGAAAGGAAAGTTTTAATAATTTTCAGCTTTTAGTGAATAATCCAAAGCGGACAGTGCAATAACAAAGTGAGAGATATCTGGCCGAACAGTGTACTATAGCATGAGAGTTGTCTGTCCAGGAGCATGATTTAACAGTCTGAAAGCATGGGCAGATAACCGGTTTACAGGATATCACTGCGACTTGCGAGAAAGTAAAATCCGACGGGCAAAGCATTGTGCTCTCATTGCCCAGTAATTGGTGAGCGTTTACTCCTTGCGGCACCAACCACCAGTAATTGGTGGTTGGTACCCTAAGGAGTAAATGCTCAACTGAGCAGCTTCTGAGAGGTAACGCACGTATGAACGAGCGGTAGGTGCTAATCAGAAGCACGCAGATCAGGATATGAGGGCCTGGCATTTTTGTTGAACTTGTTGGAGCCTTATTAAATAGGATTTTCATACCGGCTGTCTAGACAATCCTGATATTGTTGGTATGTAATCGCATATATGCACATATTTTACGCAAGAAAGTAAAAGTAGTGGCTGAATTTGAATGTTTTCGGGGTAATTTTTATTCAGAGACGGAGCAGTGGCTGTAGTGTGGTGCCCGGTAAACAAATGTTGTCTCTTCACTCTTAAACAAGGTTCATGTAACTGACAAAGATGCTACGCGAAAAAATGAAATTTTTTTATTTTAGAAGCATTTTGTTTTTTGAATGCTATATTTTTTGTCAAAATGTTTTGCTGTTTAAAAAATCTAGATTGTTGGGACGGGATTTTTGGCAACTGCTGTGGCAATAGTCACCGACAGACGTAACAAAATCCCGACTTGGTTGCATCCAATTCTAATCGGCTTAATGTTTATGCTGATTGGAACTTGTTTCGGAATGAACGTTGGCTATCCAATCAATCCTGCTCGCGATCTTGGGCCGCGTCTTTTCTCGCTCGTTGTTTACGGAAAAGAAGTCTTCACGTAAAATATGTTTCTATTTATAATATTGCTTATAAATAACCTTCCACAAGCATCGTCAGACAGTGCGGCAAGAACGGCAAACGTCTTTTTTTGATGAAAGTTCACACAAGGCCGAAAATCCAGTTACTCTAGTAGGACAGCCAATTCCTTTTGAAATAAATTCGCATTAGTGCATGCCATTAAATTAACTAAGTAGCAAAATTTTAGCCAGCTGGTGCGATTATGCGCAAATCCTGAAGCCCGCAGAATTTTCAACGCCTATACTTGGGGATTAAGTATAATTAAGGGATGAATTCGGAACTTTGTTTCATGCATAGGCGGAGGAAGTCCCCCCCCAAAATTTCAGCTTCATAACTTTACTGGTTCCAGGGTTGGAGATTTCCTGCTAATAAGTGAGGCGCGAAATTGCGTGATGGTTAATATTATGCCTCTCTGATCCCACTTGGCCAGGGACAAACTGGCAAAGCTTCTACATCTAGGCTTGCTTGGTTGCCGAATTGAAATACCCGGCAAGACGAAAACACATAGTTAAAGAAACACACACCACGAATCTTCACAAAATGCGCTTTTGCATATGTGTGTGCATTTGTCCTGTATAGCGCTGCACCGCAAAAACGCATGAAAACTGTAAGCAATTGTAAAGATGAATACCATCGACAATCTTTTCAGCGGTGATTACTGTTGGCAAGTGTTGCCGCTAGGAGAGTCGGTTGCCACCGCCTTTTACAGACAATTACGGGCATCTGTGGCCTTAAATCTAAGGCAGTAGTTTGAACCCACAAAAGGAAAATGATTTTCTTTCGTTGTTAAATTGGTACAGCTGCACACGGGAAAGCAAATAATCTCCGATTAACTTTTCAAGCAACTCTTTGAATTTTTTTCTGTGTTGTCAAAAAGTGATTGTCGCTAGCATATCGCTATTGCTGCGGATATTTCCAAGTACCGTCGTTTCTCATAGTGAAACACGAAGGGCTTGATTCCCATTTTTCAGATCAAAGTTCCAAATTACTTTTATTGGCTTGTGTTCAAAATTCAAAAGCCAAAATCTACTCCGTATTTCGCTCTCATTGAGAGACGGAAGTACTCGAAAAATAACCCGAGTTGCTACGTAAAACAAAATATTTTTAATTGTATCTTCTTTCATGAAATTTTCGAAAATATGGCCTAGTGAAGTGATTTGGTGTATTATCTTCCTCGAAAACATTTTACCAAAGACTTATCTTTTGTTTGTCTCAGTGCTGTAAATTCAGCGTATAAACTGTTTCTTCTGGAAAGAGCAAACAGTGCTCTTTCTGGTTTTTAGGCACCCGTATCGGACTTGGTTTCTGGTTCCAATTATAGCTCCAATGACTGGAGCAATGGTTTTTGGATGGGCCTATCATATTTGTGCTGGCATGCATATTCCGGATGACGAGGACAGCGAGGGAAATGATACGGCGAGGGATGTGCGCACAGCATAAGTCGTGATGTTATAATCATTCATCCAAATACGATCCTGTTTTTCAATTGTAAACATTGTGTTCTGTTGTTTAATATTAAAATTTTGAATTTGATTCACCGTGGACAAATTTTCCACGAACGAATTCATCCTTCAGTTTAGCCTTCCAGCTTTCTAATCACATTTTGCTTGTTTAGCCGCAATCTTACGAAGAGAACACGATGTTACGGTTTGACGCAACAGTGTTAATGAAATGCGCTAGGCACAGTTGCCTTAGGTCGTTCTATCCTGAGTTCCATATCTTCAGATTAGATCGTAGCAGCCAGGTCAGACCTGGGTGCTTAAGTAGTAAAAACTAGAAACTAGTCAAAGATAAGAACAAGATGAAAGAGTGAGCTAAAACGTCTCGGTTCTTTAGGTTATGTACTGCTTAACACTGAAACAAAACCTCGTCAGTATGATGGTCGCAGTGTAATTTCCTCGTTGATTTTAATTAAATGCCCCTATTCAATAAGTTAACTCGCATGGCTTTTCTCGCTCAGTTACCGCTTTTGATAGGCAGTGCTGACTAACTGGCCGCAGAATGAGCACCACGGTCCATCAGATGGATTTTGTTTTTTAATGATAACTCAAACTTCCAATTATATGCTCCTTTCCTCATACTTCTGAACATAGATAAGGCAGCCGTTCTTGTCTTGCGCTATCTCATTATGCAACAATTTCTAGCATTTCGCAAATGAAAACTACGTCCAGGCAAAAGCCACTTCGTGCATGCTTTTCAAAGCCCTCCACCTCGAGGTCTTGCTTTGAAAATGGCGCTGGAGAGGAAGTTTGAACATCAGTAAATAGCGTGGAGAAATGCACGGGCGCTGCAGCCCCTCAGCAACAGGACTGCTGCTGAGATATAGCCATATAAATATATGCATGAAAATTTGTACTGAAAAATTAAGCAGGAATGTTTCGGTCCAAGTCATATTCATTTGTGTTCAGCAACACAGCTGGACTTTGTCAGCACGATGAATGTGATGCTGGTAAAATAAATAAATCAAGTGAAATAAATTTTTGTAGGATTGATTGTAATAAAAGGGAACAAGTTTTAAAAAAATAAGGAAGAACATGAACGGATCGGATAGTGCTTAAGAAACTGGAAAACTGTCAATTGTTAGTACTGGTGCAGCTTTTATAAAAAATTGAAGTTCAACCCCTAAAGCAGGCTTCAAGTGGCTTGCCACTCCGCCCTACAAAAGGAAAGTGAAGCAAATGCCTAAATCGCTGACTGTGAATCTGCGAGTAGATGGGACCGTTTTGAGAGAAGTATTAATGTTTGTCCTTTTTGGTTGTTTTTTTGTTCCATCTCTCCCTCTCAGGTAGTAAAGTTTATTCTTCATAAAAGCTATTAACTGTAGGCAGTTTAAACTGACGAAACCGGACTACACTCTGCACCAAGACAGCGGAAAACAGGCTGCACAATCCTAGTTCTGAGGCAGTGAGAAGCATTTGAATATAAACCTTTAAAATCAACAGATGAGTTCGGTGTCATCATTTGCAAAAGCAACCGATGT